GTAAATATTTATATATATATAAATCTCAAAGACATTAATTGATCATTCTTGCCCTCGAATTAATGTTTTCATCCGGTTAAGTTAGCAAACAAAGCAGAAACACTTCGCATTATCCTGTAAAACAGCCGTTTAACACTAAAACAAGTCTACTCTCTAGTTTTTCAGTCCAAAAATGCAACAAAACTGCATTAAAACCCCACTTCATTAACATCTCCACAGTGAGACAGCCGGAAGATAGCATGCTGGCCGATAACACTGCTGGTGCTCCTGTCTAAACTGACCGATGTAGCCACAACTAAGTTCAGTTCCTAGGGTCACAATTCAGTCTGATTTGGAGGATTAATTATTGAATAACGCAAACAGACTATCACAATATCTACCAGCAATACCCATAAGGTTCTGTAGATTTAAAATTGACTTTTAAGTCTGGCAAAAGCTGTATTTTCCAACAAAAAAGAAAGGAAACCATATAGTTTACATTTATATTAAATTGAAACAACATGAATTACATGAACACACACGAGGATGGTGTGTACTTCTTGTATGTATCTTTTCCCAACATGACACACAAAAACCATTAAACTACCTGTACAAATGAGGAACAGCAATGTCCTGTGGCCATTTGTAAGCAAAGAGAAGTACTGATGACAGGGGCGGAGGAAGAAAAACAAGAGGCAAGCAGCTCTTTTTAAAAAGATTATATATTACAGAAACAAGAATTTAAAAAAATTACTTACACACATTATAAAATAACTTTTTTCTCTTTTCAGCACCATATTTTTATGTTGAAATGTTCGTCTTCAACACAATAAAAAGAAATATTTGAGGTCATTCTCTCTGGAGAATCTCACGATCAGATTTAGAAATTTTTAGATTTTGGCCATCCCCATTTCCCTGCGATATTAAAAAAAGACAAACAAATAAAAAACAAAGAAATAAAACCAGACCCAAGTATGATATTGCCCCACAGCCACCCACGGTGGCTGACAGAGCTGTCCCCTCCCTCTCAAACCTTTCTCCTACCCGCTGTGGTCTCAGATAGAAATTTAAAAGATCAGCGGATTGTGTGCCAATATTTTTAGCACTGACTCAGTAAACTGATGTTCTATGATACACGCCAACTCAAACAGTAGCAAGGACAAGAAAATGTGACAGAACTGGAGAGTCACCATTTAATCATTACAGTGGAAGCAAAATTTAACAGCACAGTACAGTTGATGAAAACACTAAAAAGGGATATTACAATAAAATATGGCCACAGATTCTTTGGTTCTCCAAACAGAGTTTGGACAGGGCGTGAACACAAGCACCATAACTCAGGCTGGCAGTGAGTTTAACATGCAAGTCACTCGCTTCACTTGACCTTCAAGTGTCAGCTACAGGAAATAAATACAAATGAAATATACCACATTTGACTGGAATATTTGGTGGTCCTTGTTTTTTTTAATCTCAAAGCACCCTGTTTGTTTTAAATAAATACAATAGAATATCACTATTTCTGTACAAATGGAATGTAATGCACATTTTCCCCAGTAAGAAGCTTTATGAAATTGTAAAAGAGACTAAAAAAAAATGAAGGACTCAGGGTGAATACTAAAACTTTTATGCTTTGGTATAATTAGCACCTTGCCACACAGTTTCTTACAGTAAAGCATGCATTTTATTCACTGCTGTAGGAAAAATAAGGAGGGAACTTTGAATCTCATATACATATTTAAACCCTGATGATGTTCTGTGCTTGGATGCAAAATCAGAAAATGTGTTCTGGATGGAAAACAATAATCCCCCGAAAGTGACTCAGCAAATACTGGACTGGTGTGTGGTTAGCGACCCTGGTAGCCTGATCCATGATTTAAATAAGAATCAGCCCTTAACATGTAAGTACAATAGCATCAAGTTTAGCACAGTTTACAAAAATAATGGCTTTTAAATTCACTGATCTAGGTATCAACACATCTCCCATCCTGCCTTGCTGTATGCAGCAGGTTTTGTCCAACGTTAACAAATGAACATTTCAAAGAGAACTTCTGCTGCTCTCGGCAGAGGAAAGTTTGTCCAGTTTAAAAACAGAATGAATCTTACGTCATACTGGACTCCATTAACCTCACTGCGTAACACCAGAAAGATTTTTCAATCATCACTTTGAGCTGTGAATCACATTTTTAGACTGTTTTAATAAAACTGCAGGGTGATGTCATGAAGAGAATATTACATATAGTAGAAAATTCACTTTGTGGCAGCTTAAACAAGACAGAAAACAGATCTATCTAACGGGCAAGACTCAGCAGTTCCCTCTTTTTTTATTCTGGGTGGAAACTGGTGGCTTTAATTCTTTGGTTCCTTTTGATGTAATAACATAAGAGCTGAGAGTGTGTTTTCCATGTCAGCAACATGATTGACAAGTCACTTGGACGTTCATTCATTTTTGTTACAGAACTAGAAGAATAGATGCCCTAACAGAGATGGACCAAAGCTTTATGTCAGCTACAGCTGAACATTTGCAACCACTAGCTGTCATTTTCTGGTCAGTTTGGTGTCTGCTGTTTTGATTGATTTGATTTTGGTTCACAAGTATAAATTCCGGCTGGCAAGTGCAAAACGGATAAAAAGTTGGTTGTACAGCTATCACTTCTCAACATTTTATCTGAGTGACTAAATGAATAAACGCCCAACAACTGCCAAGCTGTGATTCAAAACACACGATTTAACAGCTACATAGGAGCCTCTTGCACTTCTCGTCAGTCATAAAAGAGTGACTGTCAACCACATTGCTTACAGTGTGAACGTGGGATTAAAGAAATGGAAATAATGTCCAGGTGTGACCCTTTTTTGGTAGGAGGAGGGGGGAGGTAGAGCAGGTGAGATGAGTGGAAAAAAGACAGCGGGGAGGAGAAAAGAGTGAGAGGGGGATCGGAGACGGGGGTGTGGGGCTTCAGGCCTCAAGTCGCTGGCTTGCTCTCTTTCTCAGGCCGGCCCCTTTCGCTGCTGGTAAAGAAAACACTGTTTTATTCCGAAGAACACTCTCTCCTGTTTTTTTCTTCCTTTCTCGTGGTTGTGCGCCCAAACGATGGTCTCCTCTCCACGAGTTTTTCATTTCTCTCCTCTACTTTTTTTTGACGTCCATTAATTGTTGGGAGGATGTTGCTTTCCCCAGGCACGTACTTGAGTGTGAGTGCGTGTTTGTCTCACAACAGCATCTGCGTGTGTAAGTGTGTGTGTCTGTGGGTTTGTGTGTGTGTTTCATATCATTTACAAGTTAATTTACAAATTACTGGGCGTGTATGTTTATTATATATAAGTGTGTCTCTAAGTGCATGTGTGTGTGCGTGAGTATTTGTATGTGTTGCTCTTGCTTGAAGAGTGTGGGTGTGTGTGTGTGTGTGTGTGTGTGTGTGTGTGTTTAGCCTTGGAAACAGACAGGTCCCACTTCAAAGCCAAACTGCTGGTTGCTCTCCCCAAAGTCTGACACCTTGATATCCAGCAGAGGAAGATGCTCCACCTGTGGCGTGTTGATCTCCAGGACTGTCCTGTCAAAGCCCTTACGATACTGCAGAGAGAGAAAGAGCGAGAGACACGTGTTAGGAACTAGATTCAAGATATACATGTGGCACAATTGTGTACAAAGATTGTCTAAGGTTGTGTGAAAATAAGCTTGAATCATTTTGTTCATTTTAAAACTCTGCATCATAACATGGCAAATTAAAACATTTTGGAAAGAGAACTGATGCCCTTAGATGAGGCTGCCTGGTGCTAGAAGGTCACAATGGATTATCATTTATCGTTCCCATTCAGTATAAAGAAGTGAAAACATATCTATTAGATAGAAGATAATATATCAAACACACAGTAGATCAAATTAGTCAAATAAGTCTCAATTTCTTTTGAGATTAAGCTAAATACTTCATAATCATAATCTGTAAATACTGTATGTTAAATGTCATTGTGATCAAATTGTTTGACTTTTGATGTGCAGGACATAACATACAAGGGATCAATCTGTAGTGCAAACCAATGGAAATTCACTTAGAGAGATACAGTAGAAGCAGTTAAATTTGACTCATTGGTTCATTGGTTAGTTGCTTGATGGACTATCCTACAGTGCACATACAGTACATTGTGACTTTGTTTTGAAAGGTGCTGAATAAATAAAGTATTTTTAAACAATTATTATTTTTATTATAGTGCAGCATGTGGTCCAAAACAAAGATACATAGGTTTCCAGAAAGACTTAATAAGCTCAAACTCACAGAGCAGCCATCGACCAAGGCCTTGATGTAAGGGTTGGTCTCGTAGCTCAGCCCCTCATCGTTGGCACCCTTGAGGTGCAGTGCCCTGTCATAGCTGTTCTTGGCGCTTCGGTCAGCCCAGGCAACTGAGCGGTGGCAGTGGTAGGTGAGGTTCTGGCGGGCCTGAACGCTCAGAAGACGCAGGAAGCCCAACTGGACCACGCCCACAGGCTCGCCATTAGAGTCCACATAGGAGAACTGGAAGGAGGGGGAGTGTGAAGAGGAGGTAATAGAATGGGATTTGGGGGAAGGACAAGAATATAATTACAAGGAAAAGGTGGAAGAGCAAAAGAAGGGAATGCAAAGAAAGGGGAAGAGATTGCAACAAAATACAGGGTAATTAAGTAAAGGTAAGAACTAAACTATTAACGAAAACAAAAAAGTTTCATAACTTGTCACAGAGGTTTACTAACCTTACTGCCAGTGGCAAACTGACTGTACCAGGATCCAGGAGTCTCTTTGTCCCAGGAGCTCATCTTCACCTGCCACCAGAATTGTCCACATCACATATTATAGTCAGACACATTTAGTTTAGCTTTGCATGAATAAATAAACACAGCTTGTGTGGGAAAACCAGACCATTTTTTCCTGAACCATTAAAGCACTTATTAGTTTTATTATTATTGTGTAAGTCTGCAAATGTAACTGGGAAGTTTCTAGTTTCTAGAAAGTGGGCAATCAGAGACTGCAAACCTTCGCCAACAGTGATTAGTACTCCTAAAATTTCTTCACAGCAAAATTCATCATTCCTATCCCTTGCATATTTAGTTTAACAGATTTCTTAACTTGAACTCAGCAGTAAGTGTTGGAAGATTTCACAGGATTTTAAGGAGACTTAAAAACTGCTGGTTCGGGGGACTGACCGTGTTGATGCTCTTGCTGGGGTACAGGCATGTCTCCACTCCGTTAGTGAAATTACAGAAGACCTTGAAAGAGTCTCTAGAGCAGCCCTGGTTGGGGTCAATCCAGTAATCTCCTGCAGAGGGAGACAAAGCAAGATGGGGAAAAAATTTAATCTCTAAGAGTCTTGTTATGACTACATAATATTAAGGTAAATCTTTAACATGAAATGTCAATATTTTCCAAAAAACTTATTTTTTTAATGTAATGTTAGTGCAGTAACATGTTTGTAGTTGAGAGGATATTTATAGTACTCATAAATTAATTCTATTACCGTCTTTGAGGTCCGGCTGGCTAAGGTGCAGGTCTTGGCAGGTGCGGGCAGGGCTGTCCTGGGTGCCAAGAGGGAAACGCATGGTCTCGATCTCCTGTCGAAGCGAGTTGAGAGAGCCAAAGATCTCCTCCATGCCTTCACTGCCCATCAGGAACTCAGTGCCAGCGGCATCAGATGCAAGCATGTCGGGGTCGGACTCGGGGAGCAGCTGGCTGGCATCGATGGAACGTTTGGACTTGGGACTCCTCTGGATGGGCAGGGGCTGAATGACCTCGCCTGGTGGGCCCTGGGTAGCAAGTTTACATTTTCATCAAATAAGTGACTACCAACAGTGAGGTGCAAAGAGTGAGCAGATAAGAAATTTCTTTCTTTTACAATAAAAGTTGAAATACTTACAGGAGGTCCTGGAGGTCCTTGTACACCCTTTTCTCCCTTTGGACCAGCTCCTCCCTAAACACAGCAGAGAAATAAAAGATTCAAGAAGCATTACTGCATCAGATCCAAATCAATGCGTTTTTCATTAACAGTGTCATTCATTCTTCGTGGTGCAAACACTCTTAAAGTGTACTCACAGAAGAACCCTTAGCTCCTTTGACTCCTTGAGGACCCTGTAAAAGATATAAGGTTTTAGTTTAATGACGGGGACCATCCATCAGTGTTTAATGGCTGTCACTAATTTATATGGTACTTAATAACATCTGTGGAACTGAGCAAAGAGGAATACGAAAGTGAGATAATGTTCATGGATAAAACAGTACTCACAGGCAGACCAGGAGGACCAGCAGGGCCGATGGGTCCAGTGCCTCCAGACATTCCCTATAAAATACATGACATGTCTTTCAAAATAGTTTTTATACATTATTATTACAATTAAGGTGAATAATGGTGATTGAGCTGCTCCTCCTAACACATGTAAAACAGGTCAGACTTACAGTCTCTCCTTTTGATCCAGATGATCCCTGAGGGCCGGGCAGACCTCTGTCTCCCTTCTCTCCCTGCTCTCCAGGGGGTCCAATGAGACCAATAAGACCTGGGTGTCCCTTCTCTCCCTTGGCACCAGGGTCTCCACGCAGACCAGGCAAACCAGGAGGTCCCTACGGGAGGAGAGGAAGAGAAAGAAGAGGAGAGAAGGAGGTGGTTAAGGAGATGGGAAACATGAAAAACAGGAGATGAAGAGAGGCAAAAGAAAGGAGATGTGGAAGACAGGAAGAGGAAAGTTGGAGGATTAAATAAGAAGGCAGTAGGAGGAAAGACTGCTGTTTGATCAAAAGTAACTAAACAACTTATTTTACTGAATGTACTGTGTGTCAAAGTGCAGAGTAGATGTATACATGAAAATAAAAAGGAATTGTTATCTTACAAGAGGCCCAGGTGGTCCTTTCTGTCCAGAAGGTCCTGGAGATCCTTGTTCACCCTAAAACCCAGGAACACATTTAGCAGGTGGTGGCAATCCAACAAATAATACATACGCATCACTTGTTACTCATGAACTATTGTATTGTCTAATAGTCGCATTAACAAATACAAAAATTCTAAATCAAAATCTTTACTGACCACTGATCCTGGGAGTCCTCTAAGACCTTCAGTTCCTGGTTTTCCTGGTACACCCTGGGGTCCCACAGGGCCAGTTTTTCCTGGTGGGCCGACAGCACCTGGGTCTCCCTGTAAATGGTGGTAACAGTAATCAATAAATATTTTAAAAAGTTATGTAACAACATAAGCTATGTATCACAATTCTCCAACAAAATAAAATAAGACGAGAGGAGACAAGGTATCTGCAAAACTTAAATAACAAATCACAGGGAAAAATAACTACATTCTTTTTTTCAGAATAAAAGCAGAGTTTGTGGTTGGTCCTGGGATCACTGATGGAATTGGTCATGAGTTTGCCATAAGTTTAAACTAAACATCTTTTTAGAACCACAGGGAGTTGAAAAATGTACCTTAGTTCCCTTCTCTCCCTGACGTCCCTCAGGTCCTCTTGTTCCAGCAGGGCCCTGGCAAATAAAACATAAAACAGTGCATTAATGAACACAAAATACAATATATTTAAATATTTAAAATTACATAATTTCATCAAATCTATAGCTATAAAGATAGTTTCTAGATTATGTCATTTACAAGTATACCGTTTGAAGCCTTGTGTTTGGCATTATGGCCATCATGGCCATAGGCATGGCCATTTTTTCCAACTAGTAGTGGTGACGTACTGCGAATTGAGCTGTGCTTATCGGCTGTGCTTGCTTTCCGCAGGAAAACAATGGTCGCTTGCCTGGTCAAAACACTTCTTATATTACAGATAAACAAACAGTAAACTAAAAAGTGTTTCTGAAAACATTTTAGGGGAGATTCATATTCATCAGCACTGCTTAGTTTGACAGTTTGATCGGGTGGTGCACTGGACAGACTCTCTGAGAATTACTTGTCAATCACAAGGCAGTCAGGCCCAAAAGCATACCCTACTTTATCATCTATTTTAGTCTAAATGGGATGATAATTTACATAATGAACATCAAACTGTATTGAAGAAGACTTGAAACTAGCGACTGAGACCATAAGCTCATCAGGAAATTGTCTGCTGAGGTAATAAATCGAGTGATTCATTTTTCTTCCTTTTGTATTATATTACAGGCCCCTAGTGGCCATTAAAAAGAATGCAGGTTTAAAGTACGTCAGCATTGGCCTCGTTTCACATTTATTATACAGTCCATGGTCATTGATCTCTATATCAAATAAAGGCAATCCTTTTTAATGTATTCTTGGGGCTTTTATTGCCTT